GGCCCTGGAGTGGGGATTCTTATGGATGTTGCTCCTCATTATCTTTTCATGCTGATTTCTTTTTGTATCAGGACCACCAGCCAAGGGATCTCACCACCCTCAGTGAGCTGGGCCCTCCCACATCAAGGCTATCAAATCACCATAGCCTTGTCCACAGGCCAATCTTGTGGGGGTGTTTTCTCAATTAAAGTTCCCTCTTTCAAATTAACTCTAGGTTGTGTCAAAATGCCCTAATACAGGCTAGTTCAAGTTTCCCCTCGTCAGCCTCATATGCAGAGACGACACTATTCAGCTGTAACTTTTCCTTTCTCCTTCTCCTCAAGTTGCTTTTGGTCATGGTATCTTCTTGTGGTAAAAGGAATCCTAACTCAGACAGATGAGTTTTCATGCTGTTCTCAAAAAGAGGAGGTACTGAGAGATAAATCTAAATCTGAGTGCCCCCACTGTCTGAATGATTGACTTCTGTTCTCTCTGCCTGTGTATGCTGATCCAGATATCTGATAAAGGTGATCTGAAGCTGGCAAAGGTACTTGCTGTTTCTATTCTTTGGAAGAAGTTTGTTTCTGCTGTTTTGTAGTATGGAATTATATTCATGGAGGAGTAATATTAATGGAAATGGCATCCGTGGGCTCATAGAATATGCAAGTCAGCTCTTATTAGGAAAGTCATTGTTAGTTTAATTGATCTTAAAAAAAAATACAACCTTTTTCTTGCTCAATAACAATTTACCACCTAGAACAGTTAACCACATCTGTGACTTGTGAGAGTCAGAGTAAGAGTTCTTGGTGGTTCTGTGCTGAAATCTAGAGAACACAATGCTTGCATTTCTCTTTCTTTATTGTAACAGAAGAAATGTGAATTTTACAGTGGGTCATGACTTTGATCCAATCCTGGCTTATGTGGTACGTGTATGCAATGGAATTTTATCTGTCCATGAAGGAAAACGAAATTTGCAGGAAAATATCTGGAAATGGGAACTATATTACACAAGATATCCCTGATTCAGAAAGACAGATATTGTATGTTCTCTCCCATGTGCTTATCTGAATGTCTACTTTTTATGGATGTATATTAATGTGAAAGTGAGCATGTGTAGAATCCAGGAAACAAGGAAGGGACCAATGCGAGAGGAAGAGGCTTTACGGGAAAGGGGTTTGGAGGGTTATAGAACACACATGATGAGAAGGTGGGAGTGGGGTTATTAGAGTCAGCAGAGGAGAGGCTAGGTGGTGGATCAGCAGAAACTGTGGATGTATGAAAATGCCTTCGTGTAACATTTTACTTGTTACAAAACTCCTACTTTGTAACAAATAAAAGGAGGGTGAGAAAAATTAGGAAAGTAATTTAAAATGCTGCTGCACATCAATTGTAGCTTCCGTCATTTCCTGTCCATTCTCCCTTTTATCCAGGGTTTGTTTCAGGTTCACAAAGCGTCTTTATAATAAAACTTTTAAGAAGACTTTTGTAAAGCGCTTTCTTACAATGTTATGAATCATGTTTATGACAGGAAAGGCAGCTCCCTCATGGATCCTGCTCTACAAACTATAAAAAGAAAGGAAGCCTTTCAATCAAGAAGGTCACCACAAACTCCTCTTCAAAGGTGTCTCTAGAATAAACATGGATGCCTTCTATCACCAACTTCCAAGAGAAGCCATCCCTCTGGCCTGTACCATCTGCTTGCTGTGTCATTGTCCTTCTTTATGAATGTTATTGATTCGGGCTTCCTTTCTCACAGTTCAGTTTCCTTCATTCTTTGAGTTGATGGCAAATCCATAATCCTATTTTAAATATTCTCTGGTCCATGAAAAAAAATCATTCAATGTATACCAACTTGGCAGCTTAACTGCAGTACAGAGAAAGATAGTGACTCTGGTTCAGACAGAAATTACTGTCACCCATTCCCTTTTTCCTGTGGGTCTAATTCTCCTTGACATGAATCCTTACAGATGTCTTAGGCAATAACTGATGTTCTACAGGGAAAATGTGGAAAAGCAGCTGGGCATTTAATCTGATATATTAAATCATCTTTCTAACAGTGAAATCCTCATTAACTTTGGTAATCACAGTTAATTTGTTCATGGTCCTATTAATGAATTAAGCATTGTTGTTAGAACTGAGATTCGGTTCTCCAGTAAAGTCATGGCTTGCTCTGTCCATGGCTTCTGGAGTTGTTGGGGTCAGAGCCTGGGCCCTGGGCATCCTAGTAAACCATGTTCAGTCATCCATCCTCAATATTCAAATTAAACAAGTACTGGTGAAAATCAGGAAAAGGAAGTTTATTCAATTTAGTCATACTGGGAAGACAAAGAGGTTCAGTGACACTGAAGTTTATCTTCCTGTTCCCGACAAGGGGTTTAAAAAGAGGGTCAGGGTTATGCATAATTAAGTAACCCTGATCAAGTTTTAGCATTTTTCAGTGAACTCACGGGTCCTTGTTTCCAGGTACAAGGATGGAGGCAAATGGATATTGGATAATGTAGGGCATATTAGAGACAGATATTCTTCCTAGGAAGGAAGTAGACTAGATAGAAGATAAAACACAGAAACACAAACATACCTGCTGTACAAAGAATTAGGGGTTTGTATGTCACATTGCACGAGTTTTTTGGTTGCTTAGATTGCATGGACTTTGGGGCTCATTTGTATAGCACGGAATTCCTTACATATGCTCTGTCTACTACACATAGTTTTATGTGAGGTCTCATGCGTGTGCTTTAATATTATAGTAAACCATATATCATCTACACATATTTTATAGCTCTGTGTCACACGAGTGGGATTTAGGTAGCCTTATCCGGGGTTCCCAACTTTGGTCTTTTCTGACTGCTTTCTTTCCCACACTAACTTACCTGCCTCTCTCTGACCAAGGATCTCCCGAGCCATCCCAAACTCTATTCTACTCTACTACCTCACTAACCTTAGGTAGATACTAGATTACTCCTTGGTGTGTAATCAGATTTTTTTTGCCCATAAAGAAAGGGAGCTATAATTAAAAGTAAACGAGTTATGTGTTAATGAATATCAGAAAGATTCCTTTGTGGTCTTTAGTTCTTCCTGTAGGGTTGAGGCTTCCTAGGCTTTCCCTTCTTCAATACACACTAACAGGTTTATTGTTACTGTTCTTGTTCAGTTCCTGTCTAGCCAGTCATGATGGTGAGACTTTATGGACTTAGCTTCTACTATTACTAGGATAAACATTCTCACATAAAACTTTGTAATCCTCTAGGTTTTACAATCTTTCTATTTCCACATCTGCAATAATCCCAGAAGCTGAGGTTTGGGAGTTGGATTTTAGATGCATCCAGTGGGACTGGGCTCTACCGTTCTATATTTTGATTGTTTGTGATTTTCTGTAATGGTCTCTGTCTGATGAAAAAATGTAACTGTATTGTAATCTGAAAAAGAAAGGAAATAATTTGTAAAAGGAATAATAGAAAGAAATGTTTAAAGACAGGAATGTTGTTAAAGTCAGGGTAAGAGATGAGTTTAGAACAGTGTATTTAAGTAGATGTTCATTAACGATCAATACACTTCTCATTGAATAGCCTGCTTTTAAAATTAATCCATCACTTTACAGATGGAAGGAGAGAGGGGGAACTTAAAGAGAAGAGAGAAAGGGAACACATATGCCTAGCCTGATTTGAGACCTCCTTTTTATAATCCATATTCTATGTTCTATTGTGGGTATAGGGTCTGATCTTCATTCTTCAAAGTTATACAACAAGGCATATTTGAGGTCATTGAGGGAAATGGACATATGGACATGCCCAGCCTAATGCATTATGACAAAGGACATTGAACTCATAGAAAAAAAAGCTATAAGCGATGTACAGTGCTAGATTCTAAGACATCTTAGAAACTTCTGACTTTGTAGCATGTCATGTAGATGGGATCAATTTCTATGCTATTTCAATTTGCTTCTGCTATAGCTTTACAGGATAATAAAGGCTATAAACTAGAGATAACTTAGAAGTGATGTTCCACCATGCCATACCTGCAGACAGAAAGAAATGTAATGTACCACAAATCAGAAAGCACATGTTTTTGCTGTACTCTAATACACATTATCTGAAAGCCAGTTAAGAATTTTGTTTTATTTTTTTTAAGGTTCGCTATGTGTGTATGTGGTATATATGTGGGCATATGAATGATTGTGTGTAAGTCCTTATGTGCATGCATGTGTGTATCTGTGTGCCTGTGTATGTGTGTTTGGGCATGTATATATATATATATATATATATATATATGCATGTGAAAGCCTATCACTGATGTCAGAATTTATCTTCAATCAATCCTCCAGCTTAATTACTAAGGCAAGGTCTCTCATCAATCCCAGAACTCACCACTATGGTTAGTTCTCCTAACCAGTTTGCTCTGGGGATCCCTGTCTCAATCTCTTGTGGCAGGAATTACAGGAGGCTACCAAATACATCTTCCATTTATATAGATGCTGAAATTATGGGTAGACTGTTGTATGCAACCAACATTTACATGGGTTCCTGGGGATTTGAACTCTGGTCCTCATGCTTACACAGCAAGAACTTTAGTCTTTGAGCCTTCTTTCCAGCCCTGATCTATGTATTTTAGACTCCCATATAAGAGCTGGCAACCTCTAGATTAGCTATTATAAAAAGAGAACAACATTCCTTGGCTCTACAAACTCATGTTTCAGTGATTATTTTAGTGGCCTCTCTTGCTCCAAATGTTAATGCATAAGAAATATTGCTTGCATGATTAATGTGGAGCTAGAAACCTGGACAAATGTGCTGATTGATCTATGACAAGGGTGAATGGCTACGTGTGCTGGGTGATCGGGGTGAATGGCTGCTTTGCACTCGTACCACAGTTTGCACATTTATCTGTTGTGAAGAGCAATAGCTCAGCTGACAGGTTGCTTTGGTGTACAGAATGTTTAGAGATAAAAGATGTTGACAGAGGCAGGCATATTTCTCATCTCTTTGTCAGCTATAATGGTAGATCAAGTTTCAAGCTTGAAGTCAGTGCTTGTTTTGGCAGAATATATGCTAAAATTGGAATGATTCAGACAATATCAGCATGGTCCCGGTGTAAGCTTGGCATACAAAACCATTAAAAAATATGCTGAAGTTAGGGGTAAGGGAAGTGGCTGAGTTGGTCAAGCTCTTGCCACATAATTCTAGAGAACCTGGATTTGTTTTATATAATACATATATTTATATATAAATATGAATATATTTATATAAATATAAAGCTAGACATGGGCTACAGAGATCTCTCAGTGCTTCGGCATATTGAATGCTTTCCCAAGGATCCAGGTTTAATTCCCAGCATGCACATAGTAGCTAATAGCCACCTGTAGCTCCAGTTTCAGGGAATCTTCTGACCTCCATGAATAATACATGCACACTCTGCACAGAAACACATTCAGGCTAAACACTCATGTGTATAAACTAAGAATAAATCCTGTTTAGAAAGCTAGAGTAGGTGGAGATTGCCTGCCACCCAGTGCTGAGAACACAGAGACAGGAGTATCCGTGGGGCTAATTGGTCAGCCAGCATAGCTGAACCAGTGAGCCCCAGGTTCGGACACACTATCTCAAAATACAAAGAAGATGAAGACTTTATTTTCAAGTTGAAGAGCAACAGAAGATGAAACCTGAGTTTCCTGAAGCCTCCATGGCTTCACATACAACTTCATTTCCAACTACACACCCACACACAGCCATCCATCCACAAGAAGCAAAAATCATAAAACTTGCAATCAGATACATCATTTTATAGGATATGTGGTGAATGTCAACATAGATAACAACAAACACTACGTTTGTTTTCTTAGCTCTCAATAAAGGCAATCTCAAATTTAAAAACTACTCAGGTCTTGGTTCCTGCCTTCTTTCTTGCTTCAGACAGTCTAAATTTTCATTTCCCACTGCGTGGGCCAAGCTAACTAGTAATGGAGCTTCTGGAGGCTGCCATGTCTTTCCCCCATCTTACTAAAATCACACAGGGATTGATAATGTGCAGTAACTCACATGGCTTTAGGCGTGTTCTAGGGAACTAAGCTTCAGTCTTTATGCCTGAGGCAAGTGCTTTATGTACTGAACCATTTAAGGAGAGGACTAAAATAACTTGAGGAAAAGCTGGAAAAATGGCTCAGACGGTCAGAGAGCTTGGTGCTTTTTCAGGGGACCTGTGTTCCATTCCCAGCGCTCATGTAGGGTAGTGACACACAAACACCTGTAACTATAGCTTCAGGGGATCCAGCAACTCTTTTGTCGTCTGGGAGCAACTGTACTCATATAGGCATACTCCCACAGATGCACCTGCATATATATAATTAAAAATAAAATTTAGTTATGTGGTGGTGGCACATGCCTTTAATCCGAGCACTCGAGAGGCAAAGGCAGGCAGATCTCTATGAATTCGAGGTCAGCCTGTTTTACACAAGCTAGCTCCAGGACAGGCTCCAAAGCTAGACAGAGAAACCCTGTCTCTAATTAACCCAATAAATAAGCAAATAAATAATATAAATAATAAATAAAATTGAAAGAATTTCCTGAAGATTATTGAGTAGCAACCAACCATTTAATAAAGCATTACTCTACAATGATAAGAAGGTATTAGCCCAGTTTGTTTTTCCTAGCAAACACTTACAAAAAATGAGTTTCCCCCTTTCAGAAAGATTGTTTAGCAAAAATCATCTGGCCATTGTATGTAAGCACAATACATAATTAGAAGATCTTGAGATGGTCATTCAGTCTTGTGTCTGGGAAAAGGAAACATGCTTAAAATATTGATATAATTAACCCTATGCCATAGAGCGTTTCTAAGAGCCAGAAAGTAAAATATATTTCAATGTAGTGTCAGTATCAGCAACATGAACAGGGCACATCCAAAGAAAATTTCCACCTCAATTAAGGATACCCAAACTCAAAAAAATAAACAAATAAATAAGTTTAAAACAACATGCATAAAAGACCTACAGAGAAAGTGAATTTAATTTGCTTGCCATGTAGGCTAGGCATGACATATGGTCTAGGCATGACGTATAGGTTTGGTAATGTGAGGTAGAGGTTGATGTGGCAGAAGGACATACAGACACTGAAACATAAAAGGTCGTGAGCATCTTGGAGAAGCAGGATGTCGATATATAGAGGAGAAGATTGTCAGAAAAGAGTTACTAATACTTACAGAACTTGGCTGGGTAGCTTCAGCATTAATTTGGGGTCAGTGGGTTAGCCTGTCTCAAAAACTAGGCAAAACTCAAGAAGATAGAGATAATACCTGAGGAACTAGAGCTTGACTTTGGATTCCAAAGAGTCACACACACACACACACACACACACACACACACATAAACACACAAAGCAGGATACACAGAATAGATAATAGGAAAATGTGTTTTCTAGCTAAAAGGTCACAAAAACACAATAGCCATCATAACTGGAATATTTCAAATGTCTCATATTTTGCCTAATATCAATCTTTAGTGTGCATTAAGATCAATACTTTTCTGAAAACAATGATTGAATACTCTATTCTTTTTTATTTCAGATATTTCATTACTCATTTACCGCTTCGTATTTGATTTACAACATACACACTGGGTAAGTTCCTTGGTTTTCTGCATTTTATGAGCATTTCTGACAGGTTAAGTTGTCACAGATGTCAGTTTGTTCACATGAAAATATTGACATCTTTTCAAGGGAAGTGTGGGAGTTGAATCCTCCTGAAGTCGAGGACTCAGTGTTGCAGTACGCGGCCTGGGGAGTGCAAGGACAGCAGTTGGTAAGCATGCCACCCCATGCACTCCCAACCCTGTACCCTGAGGCTAAATTAAAGGAGTTACAGAGCTCAATTCCTTGTGCAATTTAGTCTGCAATCCTTGATGTTTTCCTAAGTTCCGCTGCATTATTTATCTTAAATATTTCTTTATTTAAATTATTTATCTTAAATGGTTTCTTAAGAGTATGTCAGATTAAGACTAGGAGGTAGCTAAGTGAGTAAAACCAAGAAGCATGAGGACCTTAGTGTTTACTTCCAGAGGATCCTGGCCCTGCTTCAAGTTTTAGTGAGGAGCAGGCAGTCTCTTTAAAAAGCTAAACTCAACCTACTTTCTCTTCTTCCTCTTCTTCTCTTTCTCTCTTTCTTTGTCTTCTCTTTCTCTCTTCCCTCCCCTTTTCCTTCCTCTCAATAAAACTCCTCAGTCAAGCTTTGCTTGCATGGCTTATGTGTCTCTCGCTCACCAAGAGGTCTCTGGCTCTCACTGGCCAAGATCCCTTACAAGCAGAAGAATCTCCATGGGCTCTCAGCCGCAGTTTAGACCCACTAAACTTGTTTGCCAACAAGGTCCCTCTGCACAGAAATCATTAGATTCAGTCTGACCTCCAGCACCTATTAAAAAGCAGAATGTGATGATGTGTACTCAGAACCCCAGCCCTGGAGAGACAGAGAAAGGTTCCAAGCCCAGTGATGCTAGTTTTTTATTTATATTTTATTTTTAAAACCAACATAAAAGATTCTAGAGTTCTCTGAATTCTACCTAATCCTTACCTAGTTCGCTTGATAATGTTTTCGTAAGATATAATTTCTCTTTCCACTGTGATGTCTCTTTTCAGATGGATTAAATCGACACTTAATTTTTAACACACAGTGGTTCAGAATTGGTGCTAACACTCACTTGTGTTATTTAGAAACATGTCTATACTTTGAATGCGACCTGACCATGTTTTAAGTGCTCAATACACATTTTGATGAATGCACTGAATGGAGAAATGTGTTGATTCCCCAGTGGTGGATTCATGTCTCTACTGAGCCTTAGAACAATCTCATCTCAATAATTATGTACCCATTCATATATTCTTGCTAATGATGTTGGGTTTGTGATGTCTTCCTTTGGGGTGCTGTCAATTTTACATGATAGAACTGAACTATGCTTTCAAGAGTAAGGGGATTTTAAGATGATAATTATATCTAAAATGTGAAATTGAATTCATGATAATCTAATCATCATGTATTTATCTTATTTATAGGCCTAAGTCTAACCTTTAAATGTCTTTTCATTGAGTTTAGAAACATCTAAAATTAAAATTGATAGTTTAGCATTAGACAAATGGGCTGAAGTATGTTTCTCATTTTCTGTGCTCCTCAATTTCTTCATTAATAAACAAAAACATCTACACCATCATATCATATAAAAATTTGGGTAATACTACTATTTTCTTCAATATGCCACCCAACATTGTTGTTCTTATAAATAATTCATTACTCCGTTTATAAATTCAAGAAATCATTTCTAATGCTGCTAGGTTTAAAAATGAAGTAACAATATCAATTTAACAAATAGGCTACAGGGAAAATCATGAAATCTTTTGAAGTAAGTACGCATGAGTTGAGTGTCTATGGTAGCATGACAGCAGCAGATCACTTGACCTTGGCCAAATCATTATTTATCTTGATATCTTATGTTCAACATTGCAAAAATGAAGACATTTAGCTTTGCCTTCAAGCCTTCATCACTTTTAACACTCTATTATCTTAACTTCATTTTGAAAACACCATTTTGATAGTTTTATACTGGTAATCATGAGGATAATAAAGAAGGAATAAGGCAGGTTGGAAGAAGAGTGAGGTACCCACATCACTTGCTCGTCCTTTACAATCACAGTGTCACACTTAGCAATGTTTGAGCATCATCTAGTTAGAACTCTGCCATGGTAAATAATGACTATTACTGACAGGTGAACTTTTGTGGTGACTTGGTGGATGTAATTATTCCCTAAAATGGAAACTGAGCGTTAAATGCAAAGTTTGAAGCACTAGTTTTAAATGGAGAGTGAATCTACAATTTTCTACATTTTTTTAGCACAGTTTTATGGATATATGTGAGAACTAGATTGAGCAAATAAAAGGCTTGTTCTCAAACATTGAGAAATACATGTCTGAGTACAATAGTCATTAAATTGTATTTCACAAATAAGTCATGCAAAATATTCGCATTCTCTATATTTTCTGCATTGAGCAGATGATTAGTTCTTTTAAACTATTTTTGATTCTTTGGTGGATTTCACATCATGCATCCCAAACTCGTTCATCTCCCTGTCGCCACCCCTCTGCTCTCTGCCTTTTC